TCTTTAAGGGGGTGTCATTGTCCCAAAAATAGGTAAGTTTCATCGCTGTGTCCTTTTAACAAATTTCAGGGGGTGCTATTGTACTTTACCCTAAAACATTTTCAGAAGCTAAACACAAAAAAATATTTTAAGAAACTTTGCCAAACAGGAAAATATAAAATAAATAAATATATTCCAAAAGAAGTTATCCATTTCTTTCTCCTAGTTAATATTATTAATATGCCTGATCTCTTCAATGCGACTTTTACTGAGTAGTAACAGGCACAATGATTTATTGCCTTCATTACAAGTTTGGAATCCAACAGAGTTGGATCCTGGCTCAGTTCGCCTACCGGTGAGTAAAGAATCTCAGTTCCAAATAGAACTCTGAAGTTTTCTTGTTCCGTGTTTAGTAAATCAAGCTATGAAAGGAGCCGGGTTTGGCTGCCTTTCAATCAATCAAGTGTTAATGTAAAAATATTACATGATTTCGGAATGATTGGTTTCAGCCAATCATCGCTTAAGTCATTTAAAAAGTTTAATTTTTTGTTAATGTGTAAAGTGTTGGGTGATGGAGACCAATGATCCAGGTCCCATTTAACATGGGAAAGCTTAAAATTAATCCATGCCTTAATTTTGAATTAGTTAGAGCATGTTAAATGGTCCCTGGATCATTGGTGTCCATCACCCAACACTTTACACATTAGTAAAAAATTAAACTTATATATATATATATATATATATATATTTGTAAATTTAATGTGTCAGAATAGATTTACATGAAAAATTTGAATTATTTATACCTTTTGTGTAAAAATATATCCTCCTATAATAACCAACCAGTATCATGCCTGGACCCTACATATTTTTTATAAACCTACTTAATATAGGGTTGATTAATGAGAAAGAGGAGGATAAAGTAAATATGTTGAGAGGTTAATGAGAAAGAGGAGAATAAAGTAAATATGTTGAGGTGGCTGTGTAAAAATGTTGTGTATAGGTGGCAGTATGTAAAAAGGTTGTGTATACGTAATAGTATAAATTTTACACAAAAGAATGTTTTAACATACTGCTGAAAATGCTCTTCTACAAATGTCAAATTGCATATTTAAAGGGGACATAGCAAGATTGGCAGAGATTTGGAAGGTAAATCTTTGAGATTTAGCTTTTTAAAAGGCACTTCTGCTTCAAATAGCGCGTGTGTTGTGTGACTTTTACACATTTTCTAAAGTAAAAAGGATGAAAAAACATGCAACCCCTTGATGAATTTACAAGAATATCAAAATTAAGAACACGCTGCGATCAAATAAGATGATTGAATAATCATTTATCCATCATCACCATCTCTCAAAACTTTTAAAATGTGCAAAATTGAAATTCAAAATACCCAATTTTCAGAATCTCATATATATAATTTCTAAGAAGTCTGTCCAAGATCTGATCGAGTCAACAGAAATGTTGAATCCAATCAAACAAAATAAAGAAATTCTGTAGACCTAATTTTTCACGATCACAATCGTCACAATTTCTTGAATAAATAAAAAGATATAATCCCTTGACATAAGAATTATTAAAAACACACCAAAATAAATTCAACAATCCACCATGAAAAAAAAAAAAAAAAAAAAAAAAAAAGGGGGGGATAATGTGCAGAAAGCCATCTGTAGTATATGTTTTGTTTGTTGAGCCGATACGAGTGTTCAAAAAAAAATATATAAGTTTGTTTTGTGCGCAATGTCTTCCCTCCTTTTTAAATACAAGCACTGTCCTTATTTTTAAAGAAGGTGCATGTTAGTCCATATTTTTTATAAAAATGTGTAAATAAATCCATCTAATCACTTTTTGGCAAAAAAATAAATATAAAAATTCGATTTTACCCCCTCACATGATGTGTATAATCCTCTCTCACAAGAACACCACGTTTGTTTAAATTATTTTTTTTTTAATAGTGTATGCTAACTGTAGGATTTATATATATTAAAAAATATTAACAAAACAATATATATATACACAAGTGAAATTGGGGAAGATAAAAATAAAAACAAAATCTAATTTAAATTAAAATGAACTGAAATTTCAAATAATAATAATAATAATAATAATAATAATAATAATAACAACGGGATTAAAAAGAAAATACAATAAATGCATAAGTGAATCTATTTTAACAAATTTTATTAAAAATATTGATCTGTAATCACTTATACGCTTTTAAAAAGTTAAACCAATATTCTTTCTACTTTTTTTAAATAATTTTATTTTTGTTTCCGACTACATATAAAAATAGAAATGATTAGAATATAATAGAAAATGTAAAAAATAAAAAGGAAAAAAATAGTGTCTCCGGACTAAATATAAAAACAAAAAATATTATAGTAGAATAGAAAAGGTAGGAATTAAAAAGGTAAATTACTAAAACTGGGCAAAAAGAAAGACAAAAAATAGTGTCTCGGACTACATATAAAAATAGAAATTATTAGAGCACAATAGAAAAGGTAAATAATCAAAAGATAAAATAAAAAATAAAAAACGAAGTATCACGGACTACATATAAAAAGAGAAATTATTAGAATAAAATAGAAAATAGAAAAGGTCAAAAATAAAAAGATAAAATCAAAAAGGAAAAAAAAATAGTGTCTTGGACTACAAATAAAATAGAAAATATAAGAATAAAATAAAAAGGTAAATTTCTATTAAAACATATAAATAAAAAATAATATACCGAAACACAATTATGTACTGAAACTCTTTATATTTTTAATAATAATATAAATATATAAATAGTTGATGACAATTGCAAAAATGATCATTTTACATGACGTATATTTTTACCTATTAATTTATTCCAGTGCCATGAAAGCATTACAATAATAATTATAAGTTTCAGGGAGTATTTGTACCAAATCGATAATATAAGAGGGTTTTAAACAGCAGCTTCTTCTTCTTCTTCTTCTTCTTCTTTTTCTGTTTTTTTTTTTTTTTTCTTTTTTTTTTTTTTGGCACTATATGGATAGTAGTATATGGAGGGTTTTTTGTAATTATACTAAAATTGAAATGACCCGGTTGTCCAATTCCTCCTTTTCAAGTCGGGAATCTCAATTCTTTAATTTGGATCTCAATTTTCGAAACCACTTTCCGATTCAAACTTTAAAATTTATTCTAAAAGTAAACCAAAAAAAAAAAAAAGTGAAATTGAGGTGGACTATATGTCCTAACCTCCTACCTCCAACGATTGATTTGGTTGAAAAAGATTTAACTCTGGTGCCTGATGAAAAATTAAATTTTTGAATCAATTCTTTTTAGGTTCAAATAATTTTTTAATCCACATTTGTGGACAAATTTGAGTTTTAGCTGCTTCCTGTGAATTAGTAGGGAGGAAGCCTCAAATTCCCTTATCACTAGGGATGGTAAACGGGCCGATTGGGTAGGTTTTGAATAGGGTTAAATATGGACGGGTCAAATATGAGTTGTGACCCATATTCAACCCGCTTTTAATCGATAAAATATTGGTTAGGTGAATATGGGTCGGATCAACCCGTCACAACCCGTTTTAGGGAAGAAAAAAAGTTATTATTTTGGATAATCTCATTATTATAGTTTTTAATTTTAGAAGAATTAAAGTTTGTAAAAATATGTATGGATAATTGCAAATCCTCTAACTTATTTTAAAAATTCTTTAAATTTAAATTTATTTTGAAAATTCTTTAAATTTATATTGCTAGACATGCATGAATGTAAGATATTATATATATATATATTATATGAAATTATCTCTAAACTTTTTTATAGAATAAATAATTAAATGAATAAATCAGGTCGTCCGACTTTGAAATACAGATGTAAATATAGGTTTCTTTCGAGTCATAGTATTACATACACGAGGAGTCTATAATGCAGAGAGAATCTTGGAGAGAGAATTTTAGTGAGAGATAGAGAGAATTTGGGTCCATGATGCAAAGAGAATCTTAGAGAGAGAATTTTAGAGAGAGATAATGGGAAATAGAGATAATTTGGGATCGTTTAAGAGATTTTAGAAAGGAAGAAGTGAATTTGAGTCAAATAGAAGTTGTGAAATTGAGTCTTTTATATAATGGGTAAAATATGGATCAAAATGGATAACTCATATTCAATCCATTTAACTCTCTATAAAAATGGGTTGAATATCACCCATTTTGACCCATATTTTAAAATGGTTTACTCATATTCATTTAAAAACGGGCGAATATGAACGGATTGGTGGGTCATGACCCATTTTGCTACTCCTACTCATTGGGAATAACCAAAAAAAAAAAAAAGGAAAAAATCTACAACCTCCTCCCGTTTGAATTAATATATTCTGTTTGGTGCTTGTTAAACCAAAAATGTTACTTCTATGATATTACAATTTTGAGTCATAATCATTTTGACTCATATTTTAAAATAATTCACCCATATTCATTTTAAAACAGGCAAATATGAACGGATTGGTGGGTCATGACCCATTTTGCCACCCCTACTCATCGGGGGAATAACAAAAAAATAAAAATAAAAATAAGAAGGAAAAAGTCTATAACCTCCTCTCATTTGAATTAATATATTATGTTTGGTGCTTGTTAAAAAAAAAAATGTTACTTAAATAGTCATACAATTTTGAGTCATAATCATTTTGACCCCTATTTTAAAATAGTCTACTCATATTCATTTTAAAACGAACAAATGTGGACGGATTGGTGGGTCATGATTTAGTTTGCCACCCTACTCATCGGGAATAACCACCTAAAAAAAAAAAAAAATGGAAAAAGAAAAAGTCTATAAACTCCTCCCGTTTGAATTAATATATTCTGTTTGGTGCTTGTTAAACCAAAAATGTTACTTCTATGATCTCTACAATTTTGAGTCATAATTACGGTTTACTGTGACGAGAGCTTGAAAATTTAAAATAAAAAGAAAATCGGATCATCGTAGTTCCAAGCAAAATGGAGGGTGTTTGTGTAAAATTGCTTTCCCAAGTCAGAAAAGTCATCATTCATCAACACCACCACCTCTCGATCTGTCTCTCATCATCTCTCAGAGAGAATTGAGGAGAGAGTACGAAATCAGAGAGCCAAGCACTGTTATCTCTGTTAATCTCAGTAACACGCCATAAAACATGTCTTCTTCAGGCTTCAGCGGTGATGAAACGGCACCGTTCTTCGGCTTTCTCGGAGCTGCTGCTGCCCTAGTTTTCTCTTGTAAATTCCTCTCCACTTTCCTTCTAGATCTCTTTCTCTCACTTTTTAGCTTTCGATTTTCCTTTTACTCTGTTTGTTTCCCTGGAAAATGAATTTTAAGGAAAAGGTAACATACATCAATACAAAATGAAATGGAATAAAAAAGATTTGTTATTCATTATACGGATAAAGTTTTTCCCGTGGAAAAAGACTACCCAATATGTGCATTTTGATCCTTATATGCATTGAAAATATATAACAACAACAACCACCCTTTTTCCCAACATATTTGGGGTTTAGTTTTAATATATAAATTTACAGAAATTGCAACAACCCTTTTTCCCAACATATTTGGGGTTGAGTTTTAATATATAAATTTACACAAATTGCACATTAAGCATGTTTCGTATAATTGTCCTGGAAAAGATTTTTTTGGAATAAAATATACAAAAATGGACTTGGGTTTGTTTGTTTGTTTGTCTATTTATGTAAAGGTTTCTTATTGGGATGATATATTAACTATTGACCGTATATGGAGTTCCATCTTCCTTATACTGCGAAAGTTTGATGAATTGATTTTGTGTTATATGAACAGTTTTTTTTTTTTTTTTTCGGTTTTAGTGTTTTTAGTGGCTTCCTTAAATCAAACCTCTTCTAGACATGATTTTGTTTTTTTTTTTTTTTCTTTCAAATTTTACTAGGAAGAAATGTTAGGGATTTAAATATTTTAAGTGATTCATATGGTTTCAAATTTGAAGGTATGGGTGCTGCATATGGAACTGCAAAGAGTGGGGTTGGTGTCGCCTCCATGGGAGTTATGCGGCCTGAACTCGTCATGAAATCGATTGTCCCGGTTGTTATGGCTGGAGTTTTGGGGATATATGGGTTGATTATTGCTGTAATTATTAGTACGGGTATAAACCCAAAGGCCAAATCTTATTACTTGTTTGACGGGTATGCCCATTTGTCGTCGGGTCTTTCTTGTGGTCTGGCTGGTCTTTCCGCAGGAATGGCAATTGGGATTGTTGGTGATGCAGGAGTTCGGTAATTTCTTTACTGGTGCATTTTGGTTTTCATGGATTTTGATGGGTCTTTGATTCATTAGTCGATTGCTATTATATAAATTTTGTTTATGCGTGTAATTTTATCAAGATAGGGCATAATTATCAAGATAGGGCATAGAAATATATCTTCAAGAGATAATGGCTTGTTTGATTAAGTTAATCTGAAAACATATTTTAAGAACTCTAAAAACAAAATTCTGTGTACACAGAACTAAAAGGACTGTTTTATGAAATTCGGTCTCTTTTTAACTCTTTTTTCAGATATTACTTTTTCATTTTGTGACAATCAAATGAATTTTCAATTTGCTTTACTTTTCTGTCTGAGAATAGAACTATTTTCAGAAACTGAACCTAGTAGACCAAAATTATGTATCTTTTTTGGAGCAAAGTGGGTAGCGTGAGTTATTTACACTCTAATTACCTTGTATAGTGCAAATAATTAACGTTAACGTTATTTACTTATCAAAAAAAATAAAATAATTAACGTTATTTGCAAAAATTGACATATTGCTATTTTTGGTATCTTATGAGAGGTATCTGATAAACCTTGTTGACAACATTATTTTCTGCCATTCCCCCCATTTTTATTCAATACTCAACTCAACACAATAAAGCATTTTCCCAATTATGTAGGGTCAACTACACGAGCCTTGTTTTTTCATTCTGCTATATCTAAGATCATAATTTTAGTCAAACCACATGTTATCATATTTTTCCTTACTAATTCTACCCATAGATCTTCCCCTTCCCCAAGCATCATCCTCAATGTGGACCATGCTAATCTTCCTAAGTGGCCTATTTAGTGGTCTTCTTTGCATTTGTCCAAACCATCTGAATCGATTCTCTCATTTTATCTCTTGTTGATGCTACTTCAACTATATCACGAATGTATTCATTTTTTTTTTTTTTTTTGTAATTTCTCGTCTTGTTGCACATACTAGACAGGAAACATACTCCTCCATTTATCTCATCCGGTATTGATTCTATTATTTTCATCAACTTTAATTTTGCCTTCATTATGAATAATTGAGCCTAAATAACGAAAATGCTCACCTTTTTTTTTTTTTTTTTTTTTTTTACCTCTTGATCCTCACATTTCACTTTATCCCTACTAGTATTTCTAGATTTACCTAAGTTATACTCCATATATTCAGTTTTATTCCTACTTATCTCAAACCCTTTTACTTCTAGAGCTTCCCCCTTAACTTCGAATTCCAGACATACTCCTCTAGTTTCATTAATTATAATAATATCATCAAAATGTAACATACAACATGAAACTTAATCCTGATTGTGTCTTGTCAGTTCATTCATAAAATGCTATTAAATTTTGAACAGATACCCTTTTACGTCTAGAGCTTCCCCCTTAATTTCGAATTCCAGACATACTCCTCTAGTTTCATTAATTATAATAATATCATCAAAATGTAACATCCAACATGAAACCTAGTACTGATTGTGTCTTGTCAGTTCATTGATAAAATGCTATTAAATTTTGAACAGATAAAAGCACATATAACACTGACCACTTTTGAAATTCTCATTCACTTTCTATTAAGTAGCCATTTTTTAATGGATGTCTAGTTGGATTTCGGTACAGGTTTTATCTATTTGGGACACTATTGGGGGTTAAGGGAATTAATTAGTGCTTCTTGGAATGAAAATGTGTGGAAATTGTTGAATGTGTTTTTCTCATGTTGTCAATGGTCATTAAATAACTTGAAGTTGGTTAAGTTTATACTTTTTGTGTCCTTAGCATCCAATAAATCTATGGCATGGCCGCATGGGGTTTATTACTTTCTAGTAACCTTTTGAATCGGACTCTCAACACGTATAATGGGAAGCTGTGTCCTAGCCTTGCATACCAACCCAAAGACATGGATCGTTTTTTCGATAGCGTTAGTAGATAGGGTGAGTAAAATGGATAAGTTTTACATCAATCGGGGAAGGATTTGTGTCCATTTACCCTTCTGTTAATGTCCAAAATAAACAATGGAAACTACTATCTGAAGAAACAGAGGAACACAATTAACTATCTGTGATGCAACATCTCTTTATTCATGGCATAGAGGAATGTGTAGTGATACCAAGTAGTGAGTCAAGTTGGCACTTCCACATCAGCGATGCTCAAATTTGTCATTTTATCCCTCATTTCCTTTCAATTAATAAAGACCTTATATAATTTGGCACTTGACATCCCAAGTCATGCATGAGCCACCACTTTTTTGTTTCTTGCATTGAAGGCATACCCCAAGAAGCACGGTCTTCCCAAGAAGTGAGCCTGAAACATGGAGGCCTGTGAATGACTCTGCCCCAGCCTTAAAAAGTGCACAATAACTAGGGAATGTTCATTTTCTAGTAATGATAGGACACTGCTAGTGACTTTTGGGCCTCTCATAGGCCTTAAAAGGACACATTTTAACTTAATCAGAGAATGCAGAGGATTGATTTCTTTTATGTTTGCTTGATTTCTCGTGTGGGACCAATTTTATATGTATTTTGATTATTGACAAATGGTGTGGGATTGTACACTTGAACTTGAAAGATATAGGAGAAGAATTAGGTTTTTGTTGCATGGAGGCATATTTTGGTTTGTTCTCTGATTGCCATTGAATGCAACTGGTTCTAGAAAAAAGAGTGGATAACAGTAATTAGCAAAATTGGTAGATACAAGCCTTGCAACGAAGTTAACTGCAGCGTGATTGCTGTTTTTGGAGATGCAGTGGCCCTTTATGACTGGTATTTCAAGGCAATTCTACAGTCTTTCAGGAGTAATTTAGATTGTGTTGGCGACATGGATTTTGGAAGGACATTTGATGTTATTAATGACATTAAAATATTTGCAGATGAGGATGTGAAGGTTGCACATATTTGTAGAGGAATTCCTATGGAGTGATATGGAACCTTTCCTCTAGGATAAACTTTAAAAATTGGAGGTTTCCTTGGAGAATATGTTTTAAGGATCACTGGAAAGGGGAGGAGAGGAGTTTTTTTTTTAATCGTATCTTTCTTCCCTTCTCTAATTAAGGGTGAACTTATATGGAAGTCCGTGTTACTTCTAAAAGTATCCTTTGTCCTTGTATAGGAGTAATTGATGAAATCTTGATAATAGATAATTTTGCATTAAAAAATTGGACTATTGCTTGTCAGCGTGTGCTATGGATAGCAAGCTCGAATATAGGTAGCCATTTGGTCACTTATGGTCCTTCCTCTTATTCCATCTTGATGAGCCATGCCTTGCTCTTTGAGAATGTTCTCGAGGGTTTGTTATGGGTCAGAATGGTTAGATATGTTGTGTTTGAGTGTCTTCTTGATGACTCGATAGGATTTGAACCTAAGGCGTATCCAACCCTGCTCCACACCACCCTTTCCCTTTACCACCTGGGCTAGAGTCCAAGCGTAAGGGTGGAATGTTGATGAGGGTCACTCTTTTCAAGATTTTTTGGATTTCATGGAGAGTAAATTAGTGAAGGATCACCAGCAAAAATGGATGTGGAAAAAATGATTACCTTGATTATTTGGACTAAGTTTTGGATCTTTTGCTGGTACCGGTCTTGCAATGTTTTAAATTTAGTCTTTGTGAGATACGGGGCAACCTTTTTTATGAGTTGGAGTTGGTAATAGGGCTTGTTTTGCAAGGTTCATTAGGTTATTTCCTTACTTTTTGTTGACATTATTTAAAGATTCAAGAGCAAGGGTGTGGGGAAAAGCATTATCATCTTCAGGAACCAAAGTCCAAGGGTCTTTGGAGTTCTTTGGGAGTGAACTGCAGAAGGATCTCGAGGATACCAAGATGCCACAAGAGGATGTGGAGTGTAGTTATATTATTCGGTTGTCATTTGGAGCTATTCTGTCCCTAGCCTAGCGATGTGCATGTTTTTGACTTTGTTAATAGATGAAAATTTTTGTTGTTAGTTGAGAGTTGGTTTATGATTTTTGTTTTCTCAGGCCATTGAATTTTTTCTTTTCTATTGGTAGGTATTTCTTATACTCCATTTGTTTAAAAAGATACTTTTGTACTTTGCATAAGAATAACAAAAGGAAAATGAGTATTTTTTTGCACAAAACACTGAAGATTTAGTGTTTAGTAGTGGAACAAACTCTCTTGAAAAGTATCACTTGTTACAGGGTTGGCTTGATTTCAGCTTTAAATGTTCTGATCTGTTTGTGCTGTGAAGATTTTCTTTCCTCCATATGTTTAATTGGTTTTTTAAATAATTGTTCTAATTTAGGGGTTTCTTTGCGACTTATGGAAATATGGTTTCACTAGATCGAAAAAATTATTTACCAGGACATGGTTCTTAAATATTCTGTCTCTTGCTAAAATACTTTAAATGAAAGATGTAGAAAAATTCATGAACTGTGAATCTTGAGATGGGGAATAACCATTATGGGCAGTCAGGTGAGGCATAACCGTGCAACTGATTGGCTTTAAATATGGGGATCCCGATCACCTTATCTAGAGTAGTTGTGGATTGTATGATTGATGACTGTTTTTGATGCAACTAATTTTAAACATGTTTAAGAATGGCATCCACAGTGTCTAGCTATATCTTTTATTGAGAAAGCTACTATCTGTATTTTGCATTCATGTGGATCATAGCATGCATGAGACCCAATTGCTATTTGGCAGGCATCAGAGGTTCATTGGAATATGAGAGAAAAGTCTGGCAGCTTTAGGATCTTTATTATTTGTCCAATGGAGCAAAGTTATCTTTAAATAAGCACGTCCTAGATGCTTTCCTATAGTTTTGTTTTCCTTTTTTTGAGTTCCATCGTTTTTTGTTAGTTCCATCATTATTACTTGTTGATTGGGTACTTCACAGAGAATTCTTATTTGTTGCAAAGAAAAGGTGTTTATATGCAGTATCATGATCTAGGAATGATGTGTACTCTCTATAGTGCTGGTTTTGACCTTTTTTTTTTTTTTTTTTAGCCATTTCAACTGAGCCTCGGGATATTGTAATTCATGTATGAGACTAATCAAGCATTTGAACTTAGTTTATTAAGTAGTAGTGAAAAATTTGATGTGGAGAATGATAGATATTGTCATATTGAAGAGGATAGTGGGCCAACAATTGGGTGAATAGCAATTGCTGGGGAATGCATGCAGGGTGCTCCTTTATGGGAGCAACGAAGTGGTATTGCAGTGAGTGTGCTTTTCTTTTAGAAAGATTTGGAGTGGGATCGGTAATTCGTTGGCAAGCTAAACATGACAGGTTTGTGGCGTGATAACCTTTGTTTAAGGTTCTTTTTGTGGATTTTTTGCCATTGCTAAAGAAGGAAGCACATGTAAGCCATAAGGAACCTCAATGGGGTGATATAGGATCCCTCTACTTAAAGAAATTTACACCACTTGTAGATTTTATAATATGTTGATCTTTTAGAAAGATCTTATGGCTTCAAATTAGGGTGAGAAGAGAACATAGAATGTGTTTGGGGTCTTTTCAACAAGTGTACATGTCAATCCCCTAGCCATCAACCTCTAGTTCATTTCATCGTAGGATTGTATAAATTAGTATCCTAGTTTTTAGTTGAGAGTTGTGAGAGAAAGTAACTCTCATGAGAGAAATTGGCAGTTAGGGTTTTGTGGTTTCTTGGGGTGGTGAGAATTGGGAGTGAGGGAAAAACGGAATGGGGGAAACATAGATTGCTTCATGGCTCCGAGTCTCCGACACGGCGACACCAGTAGGAAACTTGTTATTTGTGGATCGCTTTAGGGCTTGGGGGACTGATTGTCATTTGAATGTTATGTCTCTCTTTAATCCTCTGTAGTTTATCTTTGATTCAACGTGGATAAGCATCTTTTACATGTGGATGTTGGCAGGGGTTATGCTGTAATGCTAAACCATGTCAAATTCTGTTGTTTCTTGCATTTTTATCCCTTGTTCTTAATTATCTGGATTAATTGGATATAGGTGTGATGGTGCTCTTCCAAGTGCAACAGTTCCACTTCATATTCTCAGCCACTTGGCCTTGGGAGCTTCAAAATCAGGATTGTGTTTTATTTTCATTATCTAGAAATGATTCTTTTTTTTTCCTTTATGAAACTCTATGGAGGCTTATAGTGGAAATTGAAGTATGTTGCACAAGGTTTTTAGGTTTGAGTTAGATTGATGACAAAGTAACATGCAGATTTTTATCTATTTTCGTAAAATGTGGGCCTGATGCTTATTACAGGGTTAGAATTCATTCAATGATTCCATCATTTCCATTTTTATTGCATGCTGAACTTTGTTCTGGTTTTCCCTTCTTTTTCCCACTAATAAGTAGAACATTGAAGCCTGTGTCGTGTGATTATTTTCAGGGCTAACGCACAGCAGCCCAAGTTGTTTGTGGGTATGATCCTTATCCTCATCTTTGCTGAAGCACTTGCTCTCTATGGTCTCATTGTGGGGATCATTCTCTCATCCCGAGCAGGCCAGTCTCGTGCAGATTAAAGAAGGGCGATGTTGGTTTTCCTGCTAGTCTTGACATTGTAATCAAAATATTGAGATCATTGGCTGCAACTGGTCTATATTTATGTTAAAAAACTTCATACTTCCGTGAGAGTTCTTAATCTTCTGGATTCTGTAATGAGTATACTACCAATGTCTGATGATTGCTTTCATACATGTCGTTTTAAAGATGTTTTACTTTAAAACCGCTTTTTATGGAGATGTTAACCAGTGCCATACTGTATTACTGCTCCTGTATGAATTTTTCTTCAGGCTTCCTCTGTTTATGAGTAAGTTATGGAATGTGACGAAATGATTTATTTTCACTTTTTAATATTTATGAGTGTCGAGGAAAGAAGTGGAAAGAAAATAGGGGAGGAAACTTTACTTTTCTTTACCCCCTCCTCCCTCCCTCATTTGATTTGCGAGTATTCTTCTTTATGTTTCCTTCCTTTTCCTAAGATCCAAACAGAGCCCAATAAGAGTAACATATTGACTGGCTGAAACGTTCTTTATGAATTGGTTTCACTTTCAACTAATGAATTGCTCGCCTGTTGCGCACAATTTTCAGGTTTTTTAGTTTTAATCTTATGAAAGTGTCAGAATGGTATATGGTTGAAAATGGCGTATATTGTTTATTAATTAAATATAATTGTCAAATTATTTTAGATTAGATTCAACTGTACAATCACTTTCGAAACTCGGTCAAATTCATTAGCCGACATCTCTTAATAATATATAGCGGTATATATAGATATACATCTCTTCATAATATATATATATATATATATATATATATATATATATATATATATATATATATATCAGCTAGTATATCATCATAATGCACCACTCGATACATAGTCTTTCCATTCCATTTATTGTAGGTGATCTCAAAAGAATTCGAATTTTCAATCTTCAACAAGATATAAAGTGAGAGTTTTGGCAATCGGAATTGAAGGTGAAATTTTTTCGTGGTAAATAAAAAAACTTATAATTGGAGGGGCCAAATGGTTGTAATTATATTTTTATTTGAATATGTCTTACTATATATATATATATATATTCTAAAGAGTATTTATGTATGCCACAATCTTGTTCTCATTGACTTCATCCTTGCCTCAATATTGTTCTCATTATTGTTCTCATTGACTTCATCCTTGCCACAATATTGTTCTCATTGACTTCATCCTCGTAACACATAATTATTGGAAGGCTAACCTCAGAATTTTGCAATCAAACAGCACCATCGTTATATATATATATTTTAAATTCTTAATGTTTTTAAAATTTTAGAAAAATACAATCATTTATTTCCTTCACTTTTTTAATTTTTAGAAAAGCAGAGTTGAAAAATGCAGAAGAAAAGTAAAAACAGTGGGCAACTAAGAAATGACCATACCAAGTGCCAATCATTCCTTCTTTCTATCTGTCAATTCATATATATATATATATATATATATATATGGACAGTACAGGAGAAAAATGTAACAACGAATTCACTCATAAAAATGACAATATTGAGAGGACCTTATCATATATTATAATAAGTAACAATAATTTGTTACAAATCCATCATTAAAGATTATTTTATTCATCCTTATTAAATTTATTACTTTCTATTATTTTTTTTTAAATTATTTCTCTCTTAACTAAATATATTCTTGAAAATTTAATAAATTAATTAAATAAAAAAATATCTTCTTTTTTATACAATATATTCATAAAAAAATATCATCTTTTTCGTGCAATACTGTGATGAAATCTATGAGCGGGTGTGAGACACTGGATGAACTACCACACTTGTAGACTACTACGGGTGTCATGATCCTGCATCGCTTATGGAAGGTGAATATGAAGTGCTATATGTACGTTCAACACCATTTTATGACACAACGTTTTTTAAAACCGTTTATGACACAATGTTTTTTTAAAACCATGAACCTAACAGAATTCCGTAGTTAAGCTGGTCTGGGGGAGTAAAAAATTGACAATATTGTGTCGGGTTAGGTGAGGGTTGTTACAAATGGTATCAAACCTGCAACCTAACCGGAAGTATGGCCAATAAGAACGTTGAGCCCCAATGGGGTGATTGTGACGACCTCTGTAGACGGGTGTGATGTGGGCGGGTGCCGAGACACTGGACGAGTTACCACACTCGTAAGCTACGAGTGTCATGATAGCACGTTCAATACCCTTTTATGACACAACGTGTTTTTAAGTCGTGATACTCGTAAACCTATCTGCAAAGGATGGATTTTGTATCGAGTAAGGTGACGAGTGTTATAAATATATTCATGAAATATTATGCACAAAAAATAGTTGAAGAGAGTTATTTACAAATTGAGTAATGATACAACAACCGAATTTAATCAGCGAATAAGACCCGAAATTGCCACATAACTCACTCATTCATTAAATGAAAAATTTTACTATTTTAAAAAGACTACTTTACCCTCAAAATATCATCCAAACCCCTCCACGTTTTCTCTCTCTCAAATAATCAACCAAACCCTTCCTTATTTTTCTCTCAAAATTCCTCCATCTCTATCACTGTCCTACCCACCTCTCCACCTCCACTGCCACCATCTTTTTGTTCACTGATCTTTGCGTTGCCCCCACCCCTCCACTGCCACAATCCCTTAGCTTCACATCTCTCCCTAAAAAACTTTCAAATTTGTTCCTTCTCAATGACCCATCAAACTTTTTAGATTATCTATTCATTTCTATTGTCTTCTTTATTCAAAGAAGACCTAAATCAGCAGTACACCATGACATAGATGAGTAGAGCCATTTTCTTTCACAAAGCCCTAATGAAGTTAGAGATTAGGGCATATATGTGAGAGATGCGAAATTGAAGAGTGAGAGATGCGAAATTGAAGAGAGAGAGATAGAGTCAGAATCGGAGAGAGAAGAGAGGAGAAAAATTATGATTTATTTGCTAGTTTGAAGGTCATTATTAATTTTTCTAGTGAATTGCTAAATTGAATGTTGGATCAGTGATGATGATACAGTCGTCTTTGTTCATCGCTTGACCCAATTGGATTAACTAGAGATTGTAAATTATGGAGGGGAATTGCATACTTATTGATGAGACGATAAGGTTGTGGTTGATATATATATATATATATATATATATAGGGAGAGAGAGAGAGAGCCATTTTGAACACAAAGATATTTATTTGAGAGAGAAAACGTGGAAGAGTTTGGATGATATTTTAATGGTAAAATAGTCTTTTTAAAATGGTAGAATTTTTCATATAATGAATGAGTGAGTGACGTGGCAATTTCAGATCTTATTTGGTGGTTACTGTATCATTACTCTTACAAATTTGGAAGATAATAATTTTTTGAACTTTTTTTTAACTTATTTTATATATATATATATATATGGACACACACACACACGCATATTAAATTATTAATTAGAGAAAAAATCCGTTAATCACTTACATTTGTCATTTCCTCTCAAATACTTCTCGCTCACGAGAGGATGACAAAGTTGGTACAATATTTGATAATAAAGTACTCCACTTTAGTCTCCTCTCTTTCCATTTCTATTCTCATTTTTCCTTTTCCTTTTCCTTTTCCTTTTCTTCCAAATCTTTTCCTCTTCTTCCAAATCTTTCAATCCAAACGCACTGAGACGGCCTTCTAACTCTTCCTATTGTCCACCAACATATAGGGGCTGTGGAACTACAATTTATCCAACGGTTGCCTTTTGCGTAGAAATTTAGAGAGAGAAAGTAAGAGAGAGAGAGAGAGAGAGAGAGAGATGGCAACATCTGTGAGTGAAGGAGGGACAGAGGCAGCGAGGAAGATAGTATGGAACGAGAGGCAAAAGAGGTTTGAAACAGAGGAGAAGGAAGCTTACTTGCAGTATCAGCTGAGAGATGGAGGGAAAGTGATGGACATTGTCCACACCTTCGTGCCCTCAACCAAAAGGGGCTTAGGTTTGGCCTCTCACCTCTGCGTTTCGGCCTTCACTCATGCCAAATCACATTCCATCTCTGTCATCCCCACCTGCTCTTACGTCTCTGTAAGTTTTTCATCTCTCTCTGTATAGATATATAATTATATACATAATAATGAAAAAAAAAATTATAGACATAATAACATATATATGCAATGTTTTCTTTCTGGGTTATATTCACTTGCTTGCTATTACGCTTTGATATGGGTTTAATCTAGTAATTGTTTCTGATATCTTTGTGGGTTGCAATTATATTATTTGAATTTTGGGTCTTGTTGCGGGATTTAATTCTAGGTTAATTTCAAATGGATTTTGAATCTCAAATACATCCACGAAGAAAATTCTAAATGCCTTATTATAAGTGTTTGTAGGTCAATCATGTTGTATTGTTTATATTTATTGGAAGGTGTAGAAATGGATTAATCGAAGAAGATAATTCAGTTTTCAATAATATAATATTTGTGTTGTCTATGCAAATTAATCATAGGTTATTGAATTCATCCAATAAATTAACTAATAATCTATTGTTTTACAAAAAATAAATGGAATTTTTTAAGCGAGGAATATGGAATGGTGGATGTGCATGTACTGTGTATGCATAGAATGTAAAATTTGTGTTAGGATTAGACTGATTAGTTTTAGATCTTTACTATTAACTATACAATTGTCCTGTGTATTATATTTGGTACTGTGGTTATTCGTTGGTGTGTTGCATAAACCTATTTGAAAAGCGCAATGCTGAATAAATTATCAAAAGGAAGCAAAAATTGCTTGAAAAGCTCGTGGCCTTGATTTTTGTTTAAATTGAAAAGCTGCAGACTTTTTTTTTTAATTATTTTTTATTATTGGTAATGAAGAGAAATGGGAGTTGAAGTTTTTGATTGGAGCAAAAAGATTTTTATTGTATGTTTGGATTTAGATTGTCTAGCAAAAGATTGAGAGGTTTGTAAAGTATTCAAAAGGTTAATTTAAGACATAATTTATGTAATTTAATGAGCTTAAATGCCATTCTCAGAGTTGTCAAAATTTTGGATTCAAAGAATATAATGGGAGAGATTGTTTTTTCCTTTATTTCCTTCACTTTCTCTTCATTTTTCTTCTTCTTCTTTGGCCCTGTTTGGATTGGCTTCTGAAATGCAGCTTTCAGCTTTTCAAGCCCAAAAGCTATTTGTTGAGGTGTTTGGATTGATCAGGAGAAGAGCTTTTAGCTTTTGAAAGCTCTTCCTGCCGAAGTTGGTACCCACTAGCTTCTAGGAAACACTCTTCCTAAGAGACACAGGAAGCCATTTTTAATTTAAGTAATTTTTTTGTAATTCCCATAGTACCCTATCTTCTATGAGTAAACAAATTTTGTTTCAAGCGTATCCCAAATAAATACCCTACCATTTCACGATTTTTGTCTTCTAGGGTTTCTCTGCCCATGTTCTCTTGCAATTCTCTCATTGTTCAACTTCCTTAGTTTCCTCTTGACGACAGCAGTGACACTATAAGATATCGAGCATCTGGCAACCTCCACCAGGGACGAAAAACCATCTTATATTCAAGGGTCTGTGGTTTTTTTTTTGGGTTGTGTTCGTTCTTCAATTTTGGGTGTAAGCAATTGAAGAATGTGATATTTTACCTAATGATTTGTCCAGAAGCAAATATGCCGGTTCAATGGTCTAAAATTACATGTTATTCTTTGTTCGTGCGATGAATCTGAAGGCAAAGTTCAGTCGATACCCAAATGACAGATTACTCATCTTTCTTGGGTTTCAAAATTCCATATTTTTTCATTTTTTTTATAAGGAATTTTTTCATTTTTCATTTTTCATTCGCCAAGTTTTGAAATGATACATGTTTCAGATAAAGCATTCATCACATGGGGTTTCAGTTTCTTTGTTTTTCCCTGGATCTAGTTCTACGTACTTTAGATACCCTGTTTGTTATTGTGTTGTTTTTGAATGACAGATTTCTTATGATGCTCATTTTAGATGAAGCATTGATCACTCTTAGTGAACTACCAATAATCCTATTGGGTTGTTTTTTTTTTTTTTTTCCTTCACTTGTTACTCCGTTTATTCCCTCTCCTCATTCTTTTTTTCTTTTTGAAAATAAAAATAGAAGTAAGATGCAGCCCTCTCCTCAATCTATTGTTGTAAATTTTGTGAACTTCCATTAATCAAGATGGGGAGGTTGCATGTTCTGAATTTAGTATGGATGGATTGCAAGTTTTTGGCCATTTAACAATTGAAAATTGATAGCAAACCTTCCATGTACTATAGGTGACACTCTGAGTTGCCTTCATATAATTTTTTGGAATATACAGAAGATTATCTTGTTAATAGAGCTTTCATTTTTTTTTTTGAGAAGTAAATATATATTAACACAGGCACTCAAAGGGGAGCGAACCCTTAACAAAGCAAACAAAAGATGCAAAAGGCGCCATTACAACGATAAGTTGTCAACAAAATCCAAAAAACTGTCCAAAGATGAACAATTTTTCCCAATAACCTAAAAATAAAGAGAATGTAAAATATTCGACTTAATAACCCACGCCGGCGACTCCTTTCCATTGAAAGATCTCCTGTTCCGCTCCTGCCACAATCCCCACCATACACAAAGAGGGGCAACCCTCCAAGCTTTTCTAACCCTGCTGCCCACTGGTCTCCCTCTCCAAGCCTCTAACATATCCATCGTGTTCCTTGACACAACCCAATCTACCCCAAAAACATTCAGGATCATACTCCAAATATCCGCTGCCACTTTGCAGTGCAACAAAAGATGATTAACTGATTTGCCCGTCTTCTTACACATGCAACACCAATTAACTATTATTTGGCGTCTTCTTCTAAGATTATCGAGAGTAAGAATACTGCCTAGCACCGCTATCCACGTGAAAAAAGCCACCTTCAGTGGAGCTGAAGTCCTCCACATAGCCTTCCAAGGGAAACCATTGCTTATCGACTCCGTAAGGCTTTGGTAAAACAACCTCACCTCAAACACCCCTCTAAAACCCCCCATCCGCACCATCTCATCCCTTCGTTCCCCCTCCACCACTTGACTATAAATTAATCCCATTAAATCTGTAAATTCCAGCAGCTCCCAATCGTTGAACTTTCTACGGAATCTCACATCCCAACTTGCTCTCACATTCTCAAGCCGAAGATAATCTACAACCACATCATACTTATCCTTAACCATCCTGAAGAGACTAGGGAACCTACAAGCCAACACCACATCCCCACACCATAAATCCTTCCAAAACTTCACATGACGATCATTCCTAACTCTAAACCGTATCCGCTTAGAGAACTCATCCCAACCCCTCCTAATACCTTTCCATTAGCCCATACCTGCTGATGAAGACACACTTCTAGAAATCCAACCTCCCTCCTCTTCCCCAAACCGACAAGCAATAACACGTCTCCAAATCACGGACCTTTCACACCCAAATCTCCACAAACCATTTCCCTAACAAAGCTTTATTAAACATTTCTAACCTGCGAATTCCCAAACCTCCTTTTTTAATAGGGGTGCAGACTTTCTCCCATTTCACAAGATGGTACTTGAACTCCTCCCTTAACACACCCCCTCCCCCCCCCCCCCCCCCCCCCAAAACAGAAAGTTCCCCTGAATCTTGTTAAGTCTATTGATCACTGTTCTAGGAATCGGAAACAAAGACATAAAATATGTAGGAAGATTAGAGAGGGTGCTTTTGAACAATGTGAGTTTACCCCCTTTCGACAAGTATTGTTTCTTCCACCCGGATAACCTTTTTTGGAAACGTTCCACCACTGAATCCCAAACAGCAATTCGCCTCGTAGAAGAACTTAAGGGCAGCCCCAAATATGAAAACGGAAAAGACTCAACTCCGTAACCCAAAATAGCTGCCAGATCATGAATATGATCCACCTCCCCCACTGGAGCAATCACACTGTTGCCAATGTTAATCTTTAGTCCCGAGACAACTTGAAAACAGGCCCGTACACACCTCAAATGCCTCAAATGAGTCACACTTGCATCGCAAAAAACAATAGTGTCGTCAGCAAACAAGAAGTGAGATGTAACAATCTGATTTGGCGTACGTCCCACCGAAAAACCTTGGATAAAGCCTAGTAACTCTGCCCTTTTCATGAGTTTGCTAAAAGCTTCCATTACAATAATGAAAAGAAAAGGGGACAAAGGGTCCCCCTGACGTAAACCTCTCGAACTTGCGAAGAAACCTATTAGTGACCCATTCACTAAGATAGAGAAACGAGCCGTCGAAATACATTGATGAATCCACCCTTTCCATTTGGTTCCAAACCCCACCTCCAACAAATACAATAAGAACACCCAATTCACATGGTCATAGGCTTTCTCAATATCCAAGTTACACATAATCCCTGGCTCACCACTCTTGGATTTAGCATCAATACATTCATTGGCAATAAGAACCGGGTCAATAATTTGCCTTTCTCCAACGAACGCATTTTGTGACTCCGAAATGATCCCATCCAAAACTTTCCTTAGCCTAATAGCCAGGATCTTCGCAATAATCTTATAAACATAGCCCACCAAACTAATTGATTTGAAATCCTTAGCTTCAACCGCTCCACCCTTTTTAGGTATAAGGGTAATGAAAGAGGCATTCAAACTCTTCTCAAAACAACCCTCCTCGAAGAAGGCACGCATTACTCTCATCACATTTGCTCTCACCACCACCCAATTAAACAGAGCCCACCTCCCATTAGTTTGGTGGGATGTACGTACAAACTTATAGTTAAAGTCCTTACTTTGAGATTGAGGGATGTCTTGGATGGAGTTATTTCTGAATCCCAGAATGCTTTTATTGGTGGTTGACAGATCCTAGATTCTTCTCTAATTGCCAGTGAGTGTGGATGCTAGATTGCGTAGTGGCATTCCAGGAGTTCTTTGTAAGCTTGATGTTGAGAAAGCCTATGATCATGTTTGTTGGAGTTTTTTGCTCTATATGTTGGGTTTCGGGGAGAAATGGAGGACGTGGATTGAGTTCTGTATTTCGTCTGTGAGGTTCTCGGTTCTGGTGAACGGGGTTCCATCTGGCTGTTTTGGCAGTTCACAGG